TCGGGCGTTCGGGTAGCTCACAGTCGGGCGTTCAGGAGCTCACAGTCGGGCGTTCGGTAGCTCACAGTCGGGCGTTCGGTAGCTCACAGTCGGGCGTTCGGGTAGCTCACAGTCGGGGGTTCAGGAGCTCACAGTCGGGGGTTCAGGAGCTCACAGTCGGGCGTTCGGGTAGCTCACAGTCGAGCGTTCGGTAGCTCACAGTCGGGCGTTCGGGTAGCTCACAGTCGGGCGTTCGGTAGCTCACAGTCGGGCGTTCGGGTAGCTCACAGTCGAGCGTTCGGTAGCTCACAGTCGGGCGTTCGGGTAGCTCACAGTCGGGCGTTCGGGTAGCTCACAGTCGGGCGTTCGGTAGCTCACAGTCGGGCGTTCGGGTAGCTCACAGTCGGGCGTTCGGGAGCTCACAGTCGGGCGTTCGGGAGCTCACAGTCGAGCGTTCGGTAGCTCACAGTCGGGCGTTCGGTAGCTCACAGTCGGGCGTTCGGTAGCTCACAGTCGGGGGTTCAGGAGCTCACAGTCGGGCGTTCGGGTAGCTCACAGTCGGGCGTTCGGGAGCTCACAGTCGGGCGTTCGGGTAGCTCACAGTCGGGCGTTCGGTAGCTCACAGTCGGGCGTTCGGGTAGCTCACATTCGAGCGTTCGGTAGCTCACAGTCGGGCGTTCGGGTAGCTCACAGTCGGGCGTTCGGGAGCTCACAGTCGGGCGTTCGGGTAGCTCACAGTCGGGCGTTCGGGTAGCTCAGTCGGGCGTTCGGTAGCTCACAGTCGGGCGTTCGGTAGCTCACAGTCGGGCGTTCGGTAGCTCACAGTCGGGCGTTCGGGTAGCTCAGTCGGGCGTTCGGTAGCTCACAGTCGGCCGTTCGGGAGCTCACAGTCGAGCGTTCGGTAGCTCACAGTCGGGCGTTCGGGTAGCTCACAGTCGGGGGTTCGGGAGCTCACAGTCGGGCGTTCGGGTAGCTCACAGTCGGGCGTTCGGTAGCTCACAGTCGGGCGTTCGGGTAGCTCACAGTCGGGCGTTCGGGTAGCTCACAGTCGGGGGTTCAGGAGCTCACAGTCGGGGGTTCAGGAGCTCACAGTCGGGGGTTCAGGAGCTCACAGTCGGGGGTTCAGGAGCTCACAGTCGGGGGTTCAGGAGCTCACAGTCGGGGGTTCAGGAGCTCACAGTTGCACAAACTGACTCTCGTATAAATACAAAACCAATCAAGAGATCAGCCTTCATTGTACCAAAATAAAATAATACCAAGTGGGCCGGACGAGGAAGAGGTCCGACCAGCACTTCCAGGCCCCTCAACCACTTACCCACAGCACTTCCAGGCCCCTCTACCACTTACCCACAGCACTTCCAGGCGCCTCAACCACTTACCCACAGCACTTCCAGGCGCCTCAACCACTTACCCACAGCACTTCCAGGCGCCTCAACCACTTACCCACAGCACTTCCAGGCGCCTCTACCACTTACCCACAGCACTTCCAGACGCCTCAACCACTTACCCACAGCACTTCCAGGCGCCTCAACCACTTACCCACAGCACTTCCAGGCGCCTCAACCACTTACCCACAGCACTTCCAGACGCCTCAACCACTTACCCACAGCACTTCGGACACCTCGACCACTTAACCAGCACTTCCAGGAGCCTCAACCACTTACCCACAGCACTTCCAGACGCCTCAACCACTTACCCACAGCACTTCCAGGCGCCTCAACCACTTACCCACAGCACTTCCAGGCGCCTCAACCACTTACCCACAGCACTTCCAGGCGCCTCAACCACTTACCCACAGCACTTCCAGGCGCCTCAACCACTTACCCACAGCACTTCCAGGCGCCTCAACCACTTACCCACAGCACTTCCAGGCGCCTCAACCACTTACCCACAGCACTTCCAGGCGCCTCAACCACTTACCCACAGCACTTCCAGGCGCCTCAACCACTTACCCACAGCACTTCCAGGCGCCTCAACCACTTACCCACAGCACTTCCAGGCGCCTCAACCACTTACCCACAGCACTTCCAGGCGCCTCTACCACTTACCCACAGCACTTCCAGGCGCCTCAACCACTTACCCACAGCACTTCCAGGCGCCTCTACCACTTACCCACAGCACTTCCAGGCGCCTCAACCACTTACCCACAGCACTTCCAGGCGCCTCAACCACTTACCCACAGCACTTCCAGGCGCCTCAACCACTTACCCACAGCACTTCCAGGCGCCTCAACCACTTACCCACAGCACTTCCAGGCGCCTCAGCCACTTACCCACAGCACTTCCAGGCGCCTCAACCACTTACCCACAGCACTTCCAGGCCCCTCAACCACTTACCCACAGCACTTCCAGGCGCCTCAACCACTTACCAACAGCACTTCCAGGCGCCTCAACCACTTACCCACAGCACTTCCAGGCGCCTCAACCACTTACCCACAGCACTTCCAGGCCCCTCTACCACTTACCCACAGCACTTCCAGGCCCCTCTACCACTTACCCACAGCACTTCCAGGCGCCTCAACCACTTACCCACAGCACTTCCAGGCGCCTCAACCACTTACCCACAGCACTTCCAGGCGCCTCAACCACTTACCCACAGCACTTCCAGGCGCCTCAACCACTTACCCACAGCACTTCCAGGCGCCTCAACCACTTACCCACAGCACTTCCAGGCGCCTCAACCACTTACCCACAGCACTTCCAGGCGCCTCAACCACTTACCCACAGCACTTCCAGGCGCCTCAACCACTTACCCACAGCACTTCCAGGCGCCTCAACCACTTACCCACAGCACTTCCAGGCGCCTCAACCACTTACCCACAGCACTTCCAGGCGCCTCAACCACTTACCCACAGCACTTCAGACACCTCGACCACTTAACCAGCACTTCCAGGAGCCTCAACCACTTACCCACAGCACTTCCAGACCCCTCTACCACTTACCCACAGCACTTCCAGGCGCCTCAACCACTTACCCACAGCACTTCCAGGCCCCTCTACCACTTACCCACAGCACTTCCAGGCGCCTCAACCACTTACCCACAGCACTTCCAGGCGCCTCTACCACTTACCCACAGCACTTCCAGGCACCTCAACCACTTACCCACAGCACTTCCAGGCGCCTCTACCACTTACCCACAGCACTTCCAGGCGCCTCAACCACTTACCCACAGCACTTCCAGGCGCCTCTACCACTTACCCACAGCACTTCCAGGCACCTCAACCACTTACCCACAGCACTTCCAGGCGCCTCTACCACTTACCCACAGCACTTCCAGGCGCCTCAACCACTTACCCACAGCACTTCCAGGCGCCTCAACCACTTACCCACAGCACTTCCAGGCACCTCAACCACTTACCCACAGCACTTCCAGGCGCCTCAACCACTTACCCACAGCACTTCAGACACCTCGACCACTTAACCAGCACTTCCAGGAGCCTCAACCACTTACCCACAGCACTTCCAGACGCCTCAACCACTTACCCACAGCACTTCCAGGCGCCTCAACCACTTACCCACAGCACTTCCAGGCGCCTCAGCCACTTACCCACAGCACTTCCAGGCGCCTCAGCCACTTAACGACCTCTTCCAGGTCTTATAAAAACCACCGTTCTTGATCTAACCAGCTCCATCCCGATGAACAATAAAACCTGAACGAACGAACAAAAAACGTTCGGCGTTGAAGTTGTGACCATCCCACCAGCACTAAATTGGGTGAATTAAACACAAAAACAAATTTGAGCGAACAGAACCAATTTATGTTGAAATAGTTAAATAGTGACTGTTGCAGTTGAAGAGACACTTACTTCAGGTATATTAGCCGACTTATAAATGGGTCATTACGACGCTGAAAGAATTTCGTGTTAAAACTCTGCCTTTCAACAGGAAAATTATTACTTCCTCCTATGATTAATATATTTTGAATGTTGTGACACAGACCAGGATAGACGGTGTTAATAATATACGCTAGCAACAACACGTAGTAACTACGGGCTCACCATAGTCCGTGCTACTTGCCCCGCTCCTGTACCAGGTAAGTTACGGGCTCACCATAGCCCGTGCTGCTTGGAACTTTTTGTTCCAAGTAGCGAATCATAAACAACAACAACACGTGGTATAATTCTCAGCACACTGAGTACATTTATTATGTGTGATACTGGATACATATGCATAAATATATGTGTGTATATATATATCTATATCAAATATATGCATTTGTCGGAAGTTTAACTAGTATTAGCAGTCTAATATTATTAGGTTATGGACAATGTCGTCACGCAGAGCAACTGCACAATAATTGCAGAATTAAGTCAAACCTGATTTTTTTTTGGGGGGGTGGCTGTGGGGGTGGGGGGTGGGGGGGGGGGAGGTCCGGACATTATCTGGTCCAATAAAACCTGCTTTGATCTCTCTCTCTCTCTCTCTCTCTCTCTCTCTCTCTCTCTCTCTCTCTCTCTCTCTCTCTCTCTCTCTCTCCTCTCTCTCTCTCTTTCTGGGTTAATTACTCTCACACCTGCCTGCCTCTTTAATCACTCTCACACCTGCCTGCCTCTTTAATCACTCTCACACCTGCCTGCCTCTTTAACCACTCTCACACCTGCCTGCCTCTTTAACCACTCTCACACCTGCCTGCCGCTGGTCACGTATATCATAACCATCCAATAATCACAGCACAACTCTGCAAAACTATAACCAAATTTACCAACAGCGACAAAACTTCAGGGAAAATAGGGGGAAGGAATGTGCCAAGCCATTACGGCTATATAGCACTTGCAAGGGATCAGGATAAGGATCTGGGGTCGTACTAGAGCTTGACTGTGAGTGAACAGACAAGTGTGAGGGGGTCGTACTAGAGCCTGGCTGCGAGTGACGACACAGGAACGACGGGTCGTGCCAGAGAGTGCCCAGGAAGTGAGTAGAGTCGTGCCTGAGAGGGTTCTACACATGCCCTTGCATACAAATACCCAATTCGACGACATACACAAAACAACTTTAACTCACAATCTCATGCATTCTCGCAAGTCTGTGAGCACAGTGATGCTAACATCAACACGTCTGTGAGCAGTGCTGGTGTCATCAACACGTCTGTGAGCAGTGCTGGTGTCATCAACACGTCTGTGAGCAGTGCTGGTGTCATCAACACGTCTGTGAGCAGTGCTGGTGTCATCAACACGTCTGTGAGCAGTGCTGGTGTCATCAACACGTCTGTGAGCAGTGCTGGTGTCATCAACACGTCTGTGAGCAGTGCTGGTGTCATCAACACGTCTGTGAGCAGTGCTGGTGTCATCAACACGTCTGTGAGCAGTGCTGGTGTCATCAACACGTCTGTGAGCAGTGCTGGTGTCATCAACACGTCTGTGAGCAGTGCTGGTGTCATCAACACGTCTGTGAGCAGTGCTGGTGTCATCAACACGTCTGTGAGCAGTGCTGGTGTCATCAACACGTCTGTGAGCAGTGCTGGTGTCATCAACACGTCTGTGAGCAGTGCTGGTGTCATCAACACGTCTGTGAGCAGTGCTGGTGTCATCAACACGTCTGTGAGCAGTGCTGGTGTCATCAACACGTCTGTGAGCAGTGCTGGTGTCATCAACACGTCTGTGAGCAGTGCTGGTGTCATCAACACGTCTGTGAGCAGTGCTGGTGTCATCAACACGTCTGTGAGCAGTGCTGGTGTCATCAACACGTCTGTGAGCAGTGCTGGTGTCATCAACACGTCTGTGAGCAGTGCTGGTGTCATCAACACGTCTGTGAGCAGTGCTGGTGTCATCAACACGTCTGTGAGCAGTGCTGGTGTCATCAACACGTCTGTGAGCAGTGCTGGTGTCATCAACACGTCTGTGAGCAGTGCTGGTGTCATCAACACGTCTGTGAGCAGTGCTGGTGTCATCAACACGTCTGTGAGCAGTGCTGGTGTCATCAACACGTCTGTGAGCAGTGCTGGTGTCATCAACACGTCTGTGAGCAGTGCTGGTGTCATCAACACGTCTGTGAGCAGTGCTGGTGTCATCAACACGTCTGTGAGCAGTGCTGGTGTCATCAACATGACGTTATTACCATCCATAAAACACACCAGACACGACATATTTTTGCGCCTGCCATTCGACAGACCAGACAACACTGCCGGTGAATATATTAATACCATAAGGCCTCTGAATATTATTATATATTTATGGCATTCGAACGTGTGCGTATATGGTATATATATACCACTGTCGGGCCTATAAGTCTGTCTGTCTGTTAGGCCTGAACGAGAACCAGATTCTGCCCCATGTCCCATCCATTTACTAGCCTCGTTAACCCGACGGAGTGAGATGTACAGGCACAGCTGCTGTGCCTGGATGAGGCTTCACAAGGCTAAAAGCAACTTCCTGGTGTGACGTCAGGACGTCAGTCTATATAAAAACAAGTTGACACAACAGCTGTAAAAAAAATGACATTCAAGATTCAAACAAAAAAGTTTTGCTACGAAGTTTTCTATTTGCAATATGTTGATGCAAAGTTAGTAGAATGAGAGGACTGTAGTCCACCATCAACCACAATACTGCTCACACAGGCACTATATCGCCCTGGAAATTGCTTGTATCACTAATTAACTGTAAAGTTAGGTCAAATAAGCAAACTTAGATATAATTACCGGGCCTTGTTTTTCAAGTTATTATTCGTGACTGCATTCTAATGCATGATATATATGCATAAGTTACCATATATATATATGTGTGTGTGTGAATAATGTGCCTTTTCACATTACAAGGCCTGGTCGACGATGTATAGGAGGCCTGGTCGACGACCGGGCCGCGGGGATAATAAGCCCCGGAAACACCACAAGTTAAGGTACGAGATCATAACATTCATACAACATAAAGACAATATATAGATAATTAAAAACTCATTGCAAGATGCAACTTAAAAGCATAAATAAAACTTTGATTTGCTGAATAGTTGCAATGATCGTTACATACGCACGATGTAAACAATATATTCTAGTTCAGTCTTGATGTTTGATTTTTTTGTTTATTATGCATCCTATATCCATCCCGTGGGAGGTTTTGGTCCCACATACTCGTAGGGCCCCCATACCCATCCCGTGGGTAGCAGTGGGCCCCATACCCATCTTGTAGACAGTAGTGGGGCCCCCATACCCATCTTGTAGACAGTAGTGGACCCCCATACCCATCTTGTAGACAGTAGTGGGGCCCCCATACCCATCTTGTAGACAGTAGTGGACCCCCATACTCATCCCGTGGGTGATGGGTATGGTTTCAAGAAAGAAAGTATCAGTTTTAATATGCTAGTTACTCAGTTCAATGCCTACATATAATTTGTCCTTATATGACATGCTATGTAATACAAAACTTGAACTTTCCACAGAATGTCAGACAGAATACACTTGTGCAAAGTTCGGAATAGAGACAAACCCGTAATTAATACAAGAGTCACGTGATTATTGTCGATTGTTGACAATGTTATGTAATCTTTGAGCACTTCAACCGATCAAACAGTAGCCTCAATAACTTACCGTGAATCTGCGCCTTTGCACACCGTTGCTTACGCCGTTGGTAGCCATAGCTCATTATGTGTGTGGGGACAAACTGCAGGTTCCCCGGATTTAATGCAGTTCTATGGTCAACTGCAGAGCCTACAATTCCTTCACATGCACATCACCAGTTTTTATCTCACTATTCCCATTATCAGGAGCATTGTTTACTATCAAATGGCGTTTCTCCACTCATTCCTGACGACTGGCACGAGTGCTATCAGTATATCACACGAAACTACTGCTTCTGCCCAACAGTTTTGGAGGAAATCGCAAAAATCCGCCAAGTTCCAGGTACGGCTGGAGGCAGGTGTAGACATGTGAGCAGTGGCGGCGTGATGCTCGCTCAGGGGCCCCTGGCGCCCGCCACCAACACGCGGCGCGCCAATATTATCACTCACCTCACGACGCGCCAAAACTATCGCTCACCTGACGGTACTCCACATTATCCTCACTTCTTATTTACTTCCAGTGATATGGTAATCCATTGACATTGGGTTTCGATTAACACAGGGGTGATAATGCCATTGAATTTTTGTATGGATATAAGGTTGGATGATACTGGACGTTATTTGAATGAACGAAATATTATGGAAAAGTTTGATTGTTTTTGTATATCTTCAGTGCGTCTTGACCTATCATGTCTGTCACTGCAGACGAAGTGTGTTTGATGGACGTCATTGGCCACGAGACGGTAATTTAGGAGCATATGGCTCATTAATGTCCAAGTACTGTTTGTCAAATTAAACTGCATGAAGCTGTTAATGACGGTTGTAAATTAGGAAAGAAGTGAGGTACGACAATGATGTTCCAGGCAGACCAGCTCCTCCCTGCCAGACGTAGTCACCTGATACTGCTGGCATGAAAGCGGTATAATCATCCTTATACCTGATATACCTTGCAATGATCTTATACTCGGAGTGTACACGTGTCAAAAGGAATGTACATTCATTTTCAGTAGTGAATATTTAGGGTGTAACTGCGTACTGGGAAGGCATGTGTACCAATCAATCAAAATATTGCTGCCTGAGCTTCGATTTTATTGACTAACAAACTAAACTTGCATACGTGTTATAAGTTAAGAAACGCATTAAAACCATCATATAAAAAAATTATGGAAACTGGTAAATTGTACATAATTATATAGAGTGTTCTGACTTCTATATAATCTCTTGACGATACGATAATTTTTTGACATGAATACGATCGAGAAATATTTAATTGTGCCCCCTGTCTGCTAGGAATTAGGCTACGTCTTAATATTATTAAGATGCTATACGAATTTTGAGCCCCAAGCGTCATCAGGACGTCAAATGGTGATGCCATTAGCAGAGATTCATTACCATTATGCCCTCTTCCACGAACTTTAAGCATTAAATTCCAAGCGAAATTGCTTCATTCGCCGATAGAACAGATAGGGTTATTAATTCCAGTTATTATGCTTTTAATTTAGACTCCAAATATGAGAATTTAACAGCATCCAGTCGTATATTTCATGTGAATTTGTCAGTAAACTTTTCATAGATCACAATCAAAAGTTACAAGCTATAGGATCGTGCAATGGATGATATCCGACTCAGTCGGTGTGTCAAGTTAAGCACAGTCGAGTCTGGCCAGCACTTGATCAAGTGCCCATAAGGACAACCCTGCCCTTAGGCTATGGGGGTCTCGCTAAGCCTAACAGGGTCTCCCCCCCCCCCACGGTGAGTATACCACACGCACGATGATAGCAACAACAGACCCTGGTAAACCGATCAACATACCCCGCGTAGTTTACACATACAAGGAGAGAATACTGTGTTAAAGAATACTAAAGGTAATGGTTTTCTTTCTCAATATTAAATAATAGAGAGGGGTAACTCTAGTAAAATTAACATACGGGGGGCGAGTGGCGGAATGCGGACCATGTACTCCAGGAACCAGTCCTCACGTACACACACACCACTAACCTGGAACCGGACTCACATACTCTGACCTGTGCAATATTGCGGTTCTTGAAAACATCAGGTTTCTTCATGCAAGATGAAAAATAGAGAGCAATAACTTGCCGTCTGCAACAAATGATACGATATCATTCGTATTTACTGAACGTTTATTTAACCAAGGCAGATAAAAAAGAATGTGATATTCACCTAAATATTTATTTGTCAGACACACCGGGTTGACGTTCCCTTGGATTGACGGGTTGACACATCGGGTTGACATAGGGCTCCCTATGTTAGGGAGCCGGTCGGCCGAGCGGACAGCACGCTGGACTTGTGATCCTGTGGTCCTGGGTTCGATCCCAGGCGCCGGCGAGAAACATTGGGCAGAGTTTCTTTCAACCTATGCCCCTGTTACCTAGCAGTAAAATAGGTACCTGGGTGTTAGTCAGCTGTCACGGGCTGCTTCCTGGGGGTGGAGACCTGGTCGAGGACCGGGCCGCGGGGACACTAAAAAGCCCCGAAATCAACTCAAGATAACCTCAAGAAGATGACGTTAAACCCAAACAGGCGTTGGTAACAATGATGGAGAAACTTATTACAATGCCATAGTGCTTCAATGAAGGTGAATGACAGACCCAATATATGTACTGGGTCTTTCATCTTCATTAATAATAATAAATACATCACCATTGTCATGATCAACAAAGTCTGCTAATTGGAAAGCAGATTTACTTCGTGTTATTTTTGTGATGAAGAGAACAAGCCGTACGAGCTTGCAATATACTGCTTTAAGAATAGCTCAATGAATTTGGGCGTTCAATACCTGAGCCCATTATATGCCTCTTAAAACCCTTGGCACTTTCGCCCACATGATGGGTATGGGGCGCCTCTATTGCCCACAGGATGGGTATGGGGGCCCCTACTGCCCATAGGATAGGTATGGGGCCCACTACTGTCCATAGGATGAGTATTGGGCCCATTACTGCTCATAGGATGGGTATGGGGCCCAGAGGAAGGGTCCGCCGGGGTGTATAATAAATGAACTAAGCTAAAAAATGTAATCTTGAAAGATATCAGGACTAATTCCTCCCCGCCCACTCTCCCGATAACACTAAACCACTCAAACGGATAATAGCAGCTGACATATCCAGTCACTGTAAATAATTTTCTGATAGGCTTACACACACCAATTAACCTTGGCAATTCAGCACTCAATCTCTAGTCCAGCATTGTTTGGATCACAAATAAACAACTAACTTTCCTTATGTTCGAAAGAAGGTTTACTGTGAAACTGGAAACTATTCGATGAACAGCAACTCATATCAAACATATCAGTTTAACTAATACTTCATTTATAGTACAAATTAAATTATATAATGTTTTGATACGATAACAAGTGACTGGCCCTGGGGCCAGATTCACGAAAGCAGTTACGCAAGCACTTACGAACGTGTACATTTTTCCTCAATCTTTGACGGCTTTGGTTACATTTATTAAACAGTTTACAAGCATGAAAACTTCCCAATCAACTGTTGTTATTGCTATAAACAGCCTCCTGGTGCTTTCGAGCTCATTAACTGTTTAATAATTGGAAACAAAGCCGTCAAAGATTGAGAAAAGATGTACAGGTTCGTAAGTGTTTGCGTAAGTGCTTTCGTGAATCTGGCCCCTGGACGCTCGTAAATACAATGATAAATTGTAAATGATAAATGGCTTAGCTGGCGAAGATGATTTTACAGGTCAGCCAAACAAGGTGTCCATTCCCACGACCGGCTTCAGCTGCCCCGAGTTGACGTCAGGAGTGATTAGGCAACACGTCAGCCCGTCCTCATCAACAAAGACTAAAGTCTATTCCATGCACCCGCCAAACCCCCCTTTGTTTATGAATGAAAAACGGCTTCACACGACTCACAACTGATTACGTTATCTTGAGATGATTTCGGGGCTTAGTGTCCCCTCGGCCCGGTCCTCGACCAGGCCTCCACCCCCTAGGAAGCGCCCCGTAGCAGCTGTCTAACTCCGAGGCACCTATTTACTGCTAGGTAACAGGGGCAGCAGGGTGAAATAAGCATTTTGCCCAATTGTCTCCACCTCCACCGGGGATCGAACCCGGAACCTCAGGACTGCGAATCCGAAGCGCTGTCCACCCAGCTGTCAGACGTCCGAACACTTCCGGAACAAGTGCTTCACTGACGACTTTTGTTCGAACCACAACGATGTAAATGCTTCACCCACGTACTACAGATACAAATAATCGCCAACAGAACCTAAACACCTAACCTAACCTATGCCTAAATATGCATAGTATGTTAATATATATTAATATTTATTTATAATTGAGAACAAATATAATTTTGGATGAACATCATATTAAAATTGATGAATGCGTGTTTGGGGTCGACCACTGGATTGAATGGACTTGCTCTGAGGACGGGTCGAATACAAATAATTGCCAACAGACACTAAACACCCAACCTAACCTACGCCCAAATAAGCGCAGAGTGCTAATATATAATATGCTGATTTATATTTGAAAAAACTCTTATTTTCAATTAAAATAATGTTAACATTTATGAATGCGTCTTTGGGGCCGGCCGCTGGATGGAATGACCATTGTCTCATTACGACCCACTCACTGCAGCTCCATCCACAGCTCACTCCACTCATCCACAGCTCACTCCACGTATTTGAATTGAAAATGCGTTCAGTTATAGCATCATCTGTAATTTTTTTATAATGTTTACCTTTATATCCACTCTTTCCCTTTCCTTTCCTCACCCTCTCCATCTTTCTTCCACCCCTTCTCCCCCAACATAACCCTCTTACCCAACTGCACCCTTTCTTCCAATCTCTCTTCACTCTCATCTCTCCCGTTTCTCGTACCCACTCATCGCTCCTTCCCTATCTATCACCCCTTCCCCCTCTCTATATCTTTCTGTCGCAGAAAATATAATATTCTAAG